TTACTGTCCTGTCTCTCACAACACTTGAGAAGCTTTCCTCATGTGTGAGCAACGATCCATATCGGTCCAATATTCTTGGAGCTCGCTACTAAACTAAACTGGCTCAGCGTGTCACGTATATACTGCTGAATCTTCCTAAACCTAAAATTGGCTCAACCTGATCTAAATTGAGGGTAGTCTGAATCTCTTTGAACGGTGACGATTATGGTAGTAAGCTATCAAACATGAATTCTTGAAATTCTTTGTATTAGTTGTCCTTTTTCTGATACTGACTTTGCTGTCTCATTGTCATATGCCATCACTAAAGTGGATCCTCTTGATGTTTCTCTATAGATACAAGCACTTATCACCCCGGACTCCGTAGAAGGTAAGAGGATGACGTGCTTTCCATCATGTGCGAATGAGTAGATATATTTGTACACATCATATTGAGCCCTACAATCATACTGCCATGGTCTTCCCCATCAAAAAGTGGCAGGCATCCATGGACACCACATCACACTAAACCTGATTCCGTAGGTATCTCCCAATCGAAAACTCTACGAGACATCTCTTGTCAATGCTGACACTGTTCTCCATCTTCAACCATGTCAGGGAGTGCGGTTGGGAATGTCTCTGAGTTATGAGGCTCAATTTGTCCACTATTAGTGTTGATGCCACATTCTTACTGCTACCTCTATCGATAATGACATTGCATACCTTTCACTTCACGGTGAAACAAGTATAAGATATATTGTGGCGAAGCCACTCTTGCTCCTTTGGCCCCTTAGTTTGAAAGACTCATCGAATCACAAGCATCTTGTCCTCATATGGTGGAAGCTAATACTCTTCAACCTCTCCTTCAATTACTTTCTCCACTACACCCTGCTCAGTAAAGGATACAACTTAGCCCTTCGGGCAACTGGAGACGATATACCCAAATTCATGACATCTAAAGTATTTTTGGGTGGGACTGTAGTGGATGTGCTATTTTTCTCAGGCTTCTCACTCTGAGTGGCTCTGTTCTTATCGTGACCAGCCATCTCAACTCCTTGAGACGTGTTCTTGCTGATGTCTCCAACTATAGTTGTCTGAATGGTGGTGGTTGTTTTCTTTGTTTTTGCTATCTCTCTACATTTAATGCTAAGGTTTGAACATCTCTCAAATAACCAATATAGCTGTAGTTAAACGATGTTACTAATAGTTGGCTTCAAGCCCCTCAGATATCGGGTTATAGTGTGTTTTTGTAGCTTGAGTAACTGACTTTTGTTCTGCTGTTTGTCAAATTGTGTCATTAACTTCTTTAATGTAAATGATGGTGCCTGAGAAACTTATCTTGAAGGTAATGAGGTAGTAACTATTTTCTCTGCATCTTCATCCTCATCTTCTCCCATCCAATAATTGTCATTTCTTTCCTTCTTTGTTACTCTTAATTTTCCCACCACAAAGAGGTGCACTTTTTTAATCTGATGGCCGCAAACTTTTCTAAAACCAACTCAAATAAAAAATGTTTTAATAAAAAAATTATTTTTTTTTAAATTCAGAAATGACATAATCAACTTTCTTGAAGTCGATTTATCTCTCTCACGCATAATCAACTTTTGTGGTTTTGATTTCCTTTATTTTTCTTTTATTTTCTAAATCAATGAAAAATAAGAAATGATGAAAAAGAGAAGTAGTGGAAAACAAAAGGCGGTGAG